ACCCCAAGCCCACAGCCAGAATCAACCAATATCTCTCCTCGACTTCTGTACAATCATGCTGGTTGGCATCAGCCAAGGCAGAATTTACAAACGTTCCTGCTGAAAGACGTCTCCCTCCTCTGAGTCACAAACTTGCAAGGACTGTTGTTTCCTGATCTGACCAGATTGAGAAAATTGACTCTTTTTATGTTTTCTGCTAATGGTCTCAAGCTGTCTGGCCATAATGTTTATTTCCACTGACCTTGGTTAAAACACCTTAGCAGGAGGCAAATATACTTACTACAGAAGTGGATCAAGCTGCGCAGCCTGTGCATCCCTTGTTAAATTGCCCATGTTTCACAGGCTGAAAGTTCATCTCTAGTTATTCCAGGGAAAAGAAACCCCACACTACAAACCCCATAACAAAAACCAAATAAACCCACAAGGTGTATGAAGGTGCCTGAGTTGCAGAAGCCAGAATCACAAACCACAGAAAGCAAAAAGTGAGAACACAGTCACACACCTTGCTAATTGAGAGGGTTGAGTGCCTCACACCCTTTTTCAGCCACAGCTGCCTTAACTCCATCTTTCTTTGCCCACATGCTCCACACCTTTCTCTGAAGCACCAGCAGCTAATCTTTGCAGACTGGCCTTTCCTGGGCTGTGATAGAGATTTGATCCTGGGATAAGCTTTATACTGGAGGAGGAACTGGAGTAGAGCTGCTTTCCCTCCTCTGCCATGGGTGTTGCATACAGAACTCAGTCTAAAGTCCCCAGGGTAGGCTTTGGTCATGGTCAGATTATAAATGCTGACTTGGGAAAAGCCTTACTTGTAATGCTACTGAGGAAAACGGCTGCAAATCGGTGAAATGGCTGCTAACCAGTGACCCAAAGCCATGTCTCTCTGACCTCCCTGATCTTTCAGCTTTGCTATATGTGGATGGACAAAGATATTTTATTTGCCATTAGTTGATTCTCCCTTAATTGAGCTTCTTTGCTGCCAGAGTGAAGCTAATCACTACAGAGCCTGTGTGGGAGGAGCTAAATTGCTCAATACAGGTTAACCCATGTCTGTTCCTTTTCTGATGCAGTGCAAAGGTTTCAGCTCTTCCTGCACATGGTCTCTTGAGGGCTTGAACCACCGATGGCCTTTTGGTTACCTGTAGTCCTCCCTCCTCATTACCTGCATTAGCAGCAGGGCTAGATCTTCTGTCTGCCAAACACTTGCTGGGACCAGTTTACTTGTTGTGTCCAGTTTGTTCTTGCCTTCCTAGGAAAAGCCTGTTGTTCACTTGGCCATTTACCTACTTTACATCAGGAGTTGTGATGTGGCCCAGTGAGTGATGGTGTTCAGGATTACAGCACAGAAATCACTGGGGATTTAAAATTGTACATATCTGAGGTGATCTTCAGATGAAGCCCTCAGAAAAGTGAATCTTAACTCTACAGGTTTATGTCTGCATTTGTGACTAGCCTAGTGACTCCACTTCTGCTGAAGGTATCCATCTTAGGGTTGGTCAGACAGCAGAAATTTTTCTGTCCTGATCACATATGTTTAAATGTGAACCTGAAACAGATGGAGAAGCCTGACTCTGGTGGTGTAGCCTTCCTTGGATCCCTCCTTGAACAGGGAATTGCGGTGTGTGGTGGCTAGGGCTGTAGATGGGCTTCAACGACTTTTAGGGCCTTAGTGAGTGTGACAGAAGGAGGGCCAGCCTGCTTTACTGCTGGGGGTTACCTCTTCTTAGAGCAGGCTTTAGCCTGAAGAAAGGTGCAAATTGAGAAACCCAGACTGCATCCACACCTCTTTAACTCTAGGTGTACAAAAAAGGAGGGATTTAGGCTGGATCACAGCAGTTAAGATAGATCAGTCCATTCAGATATCCCCAAAGCTTTGGGTAAATTTGGCTGTGGGGCTTCATTGAGACTCAGCTCTTACTTAGCATTTGCAGTAGCATTTCAAGGATTTTGCTGCCAGCCTGTTCCCTTACCCTTAGTACCTTGGCTGCCTGCTCACATTCAAATACACATGCTCACATGCAAATACATTGCATATAATGCTTTCTTGCCTGTCTCTTTCAGAACACAGTATATATTTAAAATTTTAAACCTGTTTTAATTGTGGGATTTGTTTTCCTTTTTCTTTCTTTTAAAAAGAACTGGGGATACCTATATTTGATGTAAGGTATTAATCTGGAATGTGCAGTGGAGGGAGATGTTTCACATTACTCAGCCTGGAGTACAACTATCAGGGAGTCTGAAATGTCTTCACAGCATGCTGCAAAGGGCAATTTGATCCATGGGACTAACACGCTGTGAAGTCAAGCCCAAGCCACCTGGCAGAGACACGACACAGGTCCTCCAGCCCCCTTTCCCCAAACCACATGGTAGCTGCATCCAGCTCAGGGCTGCATTTTCATACAGAAACCACCCAAGATACATGATCTGCTTGTGCTACGTCTTCTCGTGGTACAGTTTTGTATTGTCTCTGTGGTGGTTACAGCATGGGAAAGTAAAAGGAACTACTGAAGGTCATTTTACCTGCTTTTAGTATGCTTTTAACAGGGAGAAACAAGGAGAAGAGTAAATGCTGCATGACCAGCCCATTCTTTTTAAAGCTGGCAAGTGCCTTGTGGACCACCAGCTAACTACATGGTACAAGTTGAGGCTCTTTGCCCAAAGTACTGGCAGTGGGCATGGGAAGAAAGGGTCAGCTAGAGAACTTGAAAACCTGAGATGAATGAAGTATTTGGACAAGCAGGGCTGGAGGCAGCCACAAGAGTGGTGGGAGGCTGAGTAGGGCAGACCTAAAGGGGCAGAAAGAGCCCCCCCTTCAGTCTCTAGAAAATCCATGGAATTTCTGTGATGGTCACTTCAAGCAGCCATAGGAATACATCAAGCCTTATGCCAGTTATAACCCTCGTCTGTTTCTCCCTGTGGCCTCTTCAGGTTCAATTTGTTCAAATTAAAGGTGGATGAAGCACACTGTGTCACAGGTCTAGGTGTCTTGTTAGAGAGCAGTTTTGACTGCCTTTGGGGCACTTGAGTGAATGAGATGTTTGCCTCCTGGCTACTCACCAGCAGGAAATGGCTGATCCAGCACTAGTTGTTGCTGTCAAAAATCATGATAAAAACAGAGGAGTAAAGTAGCTGGTTGAAAAGAGAGATAGACCCAAGTGAGCAGCTGGATCTATATGTCCTGTGAACCTCTATCACTGCAGTGGGACTATGCAGATGCCAGATGCTAAGCAAAGCTCTCTGGCCATAAAACAGGGCTACAGATGTGTTCTCCACCAGCTCCCAGTGCTCAGTCTGCTCCAGGTTTTTCCTCCTTTAAGTCTCTGAATTAGTCTCTTCACAGGTAGCAAGCAGAAGGACCCCTCTTTGGCCAGAAACTTGTGGCTCTAATTGGCTCAGTACTTAATTTCTTTTTTTTCCAGGCTTGCAGCAGTTGCAATCATGGCAGGTATATCAAGTGTTTTCTATCTGCTGAGGGACAGGCAGGTGAAGGGTCTGGCCCTTAATTCTTCTGGCTTGTCATTTTTATCAGGCTATGTCCTCCCCCTTGGTCATTACAGGATAAGGCAGGCATTTTACAGTTTTTTCTCAACCTTTAGCTTGTCCATCATTCCATGAGCAGGCTGCAGCAGAGAAAGATAAACCGAGGGGGGGGGTTCAGGCCATTAAAGCTTCTGCAGTAAGAAAAGAGATGGAAAGTATGGCTCCTTCTGAGGGGTATGTTAGAAGGTCAGGAAGGAGGGTGTAATGGTGGGGCTCTGAGTCCAGGGAAAACAGCGCTGCAAAGTTTATGTAGGAACCCGTGGGAGAAGGCTGTGGGCAACTGCCTGTTTGCTTGTGCTTAAAGGCAGCTATGAAAGGGGTGGGGGAAACATCTAAATACAGCATAGACAGGGGAAGAAGGAAGAGGGAGTCTCCTGTGGGCTGGTGTGAGAAGGGCAGACAGACCATCTCTAGGGGTATTAGGGGATATGGCTGTTGCCAGGTGTGCTTGCAGAAGAAATCATAAGGCACATCCATGTATAATATGCAAAATGAGATGCTCCTAATAGAGTCGCAGGGAAAGTCTCAACTTGTGAAGGGAAAATTACATGAGTGGGCATTTAACAAGGGATGATGGGCTAACGTCTGCCTGCTGGTGCTGGAAGGATGAAGGTTCATCAGGCAAAGCAGGCACTGCAGGGTGCGGTGCTTGGCAGCCGTGCTGCCGTTGGTCCCTGCTGTGCGTGCCAGGCTCAGCTGCTGCCCGACCGCTGGCAAACTCCCTCTGTGTTGGTTTAAAAATAAGCGCTTCAGCCTGTTGGACAGACCTCCTTGTAAAAATAAATACAGCAGCTCTTTCACCCTGCTGGGAATGCTCACTGGGGTACACACACGCTTTGGGGGGCACCTCTTCATCAGTGGGTACCCTGGCTGGAACCAGCCACCTTTCCACCAGTCCTCATGTGTTGGAGGCATGGTGGGCACAAAACCCCCCAACCAACCCCAGGCCCTCCCTCCAACAAACCACACCAATGCTTTTCTGCTATGCCTGATACACAGGAGGAAAATGTTGCAAAGCACACAAAAGGTGTTAGGGGGGCTGGCACCTCACCTGGGGAGGGGAAGGTTAGAAACCACCTCTCCATTGCCCCACATCTCCAAAGCTGGCTTTGGAGCAGAATGCTGCCACCACCACCATCTCCTCCTCCTCCACCACTACCACCTTCTCCTCCTCCTCCACCGTCTTCTTCTCCTCCTCCTCCACCTTCTTCTTCTTCTCCTCCACTTTCTCCTCCTCCTTCTTCTTCTCTTCCTCCTCCTCCACCGTCTTCTTCTTCTCCTCCTCCTCCACCGTCTTCTTCTTCTCCTCCTCCTTCTTCTCTTCCTTCTCCTCCTCCACCTTCTTCTTCTCCTTCCTCCACCTTCTTCTCCTCGCCCACCTTCTCCACCACCTCAACCTCCTCCTTCTTCTCCTTCTCTTCCTCCTCCTCTTCCTCCACTCCCGTCCCCTGTCCGCAGAGATGCGACCCACGGAGCAGCGCCGAGCCTTACCGGGGGGTGCGCGTACTCGCAGGTGAGCGGGGCCGGCCGGGCCGGGCGGTGGAGCGGCGGGGCCCCCTGCCGGGCTCCAGGGG